ATGCGAAGTTGGCAAATTGCCATTATTTCTATCAGCACTCGGTCTCCAAGCTTACCCGTGCCCGTCCGGCATGATATAACGTATAGGCCTAACAACATGCACGAATCTCGTTCTGTTCAACAGGGCACTCACTTAACCAGAGGGATTTCTGTACTGCAAACATCGTCCATGCATGCCACATTTTAAGGAATAAATATGGGGGTTGTACCTTATTAGTTTGAATGATAACAGTAATTATAATCGTTCCTGGATTGAAGAACATAATTTCGTCTGGTGCGGTATGGTTTCAATTGCGGCCGATTTGGTCTGGAGTTGGTGTCCCAAATGTTTTATCTTTACTTGTTTACAGTTGTATCAGATTGCTTCGGATCGGTTTGGGTTAATTTGTTTATAGGGTCCGAAATGTTCGCTGCTGATTAGGCTGTTTTCTTCAATTCATGGACATAAAACATGAGCGACATGTCAAACCATTGCTCAACCCTACAGATGTAAGTGCGCCAAAAACAGCAGCAAGAGCAATGCTCAGCAACAACGCAACAAACAAACAGCCCCCAAATAATCATAAAGCTCAGCTTGATTTATGTATAAGGCTTACTGAATAATCCAGAGGTGGCTAAATCCACGAAAATGTCTGTAATTCGCGCATTTTTCTAACCAATCAAAAACCGTTTCACCCTTGAGAGGGTACATGCAGTGCAGCATGCATGACGGAGAAACTATGGAAGAGAAAGTGCACGAAGAATTGCATTATTTTTAAAACAAACAACCAGACAAACAAACGAACGAACAAACTCTTGACTTGTCTATTTTCCTCTTCTTTTGGAGGTTGGTGGGTGGTACACATTATCTGTAAGAGGCCAGTTAATCTCTGCATGAATTAAAATCTAATATTGATGCCTCAATTCGTCAAGTTAAATGGACCCGCATCTATTTCTCCTTGCCGAAGAGCCACAAAAAGTTGGAGTATTGCCAGAAAAGGAAATAAAGTTCGGTTCCTTGGCTTCCCTGAGGAAAGTAATTTCGTTTCGCATAATTTCTTGTTTGGATGTGCAATTTCAGGACTGTGGTTTACCTGGAAGATACATCTAGCCCTAATCTCTCACGAATTTACCTTGATTTTTTTTCTATTTCTCTCTTTTGTCACAAACGTTTCGGTCAGAAATTTTTGCCCATAAACCTTATACGAGTGTACTTGTAAACAAAGTTCTAAGCGCCACGTGTCCAAGTTTAGTGGGTTAACCGATGCAATGAGGCTTAACAGAAATAAAAAAAGTGTTTCATTGCGGCGGTGTTTATGTGCAAAATTCGAGACAAAAAACCCAACCCAAAACCGGTGTAAGTTTTCAAGGCGGTGTAAATTTATAAGCTTTTTTTTCTGGCAATAGCCAAGCACGATCTTCGGCCGAAATTAGATCAACATCGCTGGAACACAACTTATAACGCGTGCGGGAGAAACAGCTGTGGGCGCAGTGTGTCTGCAACCGGAGTGTACTTTATGTGTTCGGATCTTTAATTGTGGTCGAGAAACAAAACAAACATATAACCAAACAAACAAAACACACACACGCAAAAGTTAATGTTTTGGGCTGAATCGTGTACACGTTACTAAAATAGGACGGTTGGTCTTTTCATTTTGTCACGTTGTCGTTCCATGTTTTTCTGTTTCGTTTTTATCGATACAACAGGAAGAGCAAAACTGCTGGACTGTCCAATTTTGGTCAATCCACTATACTTCATTGTTGGTGAGCTTGTTTTTGGCCACGTTAATTAATTAAGTTTATGACCAAATAATATTATTTTCTTGCACGAGGCAAGCCAAAATAACCAGATTCAAAATCAACATGGCCACAAAAGTGTGACTTTCCATATAATTCAGGATACATCCACTCCTATATGAAAAATGACAACAGTGTTTCCACACTTATCAGCGCCCAGAGCGCGGGCGTACGGTTAGCATAATCACCGTTGGGTTGCGTGAATTTAGTGCGTTGCGTCATGGTGAAGAAAATCGCGTATAGTAGGATGTGTAACGACCCTCAAACTTTTCAAATTTACTCGAATTTCAAAGAAACGTGAGTAGAGTGTCGTCATAGAACGACTAGCTGCGATGAAAACGAATCCGCGACGCTTGAGTGAGAAACTACGAAGCGTGTGCCGGGATATTTAAAAACAGGGTTCGGCGGTGTGCCTGCTGATTTTGGTATACGGACAAAGGAAATTGAACGGCATTCAAGGTTCTAGTACATGCACTTTTCTTGCGCTGCGTATTATGTTCAAACACGGACCATTTACCGCGTTGCATGCAAAATTTGAATATCGATGAAACGCTATACACAATGGGCTTGGAATACGAAACGCCTTATAGTCATCATTTGCAATAACAATCTGAAAAGAAGTGAGCTTTAGTTGATTTTTTTCACTTTCTTGAAGTTTGGTTTAATACGTGAAATTTATACTGTGATTGTTGTAAATAACGAAAGCTACCTGGCTTATTGGCTTATGCATCCAACACTAAGAAACCAACTGACGCGTTACAACGATTTTTTGTCAAAAGGAATTTGCTGAACTGACTTTTCTATTGTCTGATTTTGTTTGCTACATTTACAATTTTAGTTATTAAAGCAAGTTAGTGATTAAGTTAAATTTCAGTCCAAATGAACAAACTGTTCCTCTGGCTACATAATTGGGGGAGACGCGCGCCTGCAAAATCATGCAGGCCCTGATTACATAAAATTCACACCAAAACATTTACGAACATGCATCAAGGGTAAGCTGTGCAGTTTAGCTTCAGTGATTCATCGTTAGCCATGCAAATTGACCAAGGCAAACATATTTTTATTTTTCAACAGGCTTTTAAATGGACAAAAATCTACCGTTTTTCACTCACATTCTGCTGCAGTGAAACATTTTAGACATATACTATGCAAAATGTTTGTTGGTCAATAAGTCAGTGGTATCTCGTGCAAAGTGACTTCATGCTTAACGTTTTGCTTTACAAAAGTTGTGTGCAGGAATCATATTGGAACACAGTGCGAAGAGGGAGTGTTAACCAATCTACACGGGAGTGTAACCGTTAACGTGCCGGTGGTTGTATAATAACGGAGAGCAACCTGTAGGACTTGGCGGGCTGTCAACCACGCAGGGATTGCTTCGTCTGGGTCCGGTCTGTGGGTCGGCTTACTCGAAGAAGCGCAAGCAGAGCCCTGTCGACACGTCGCCGGTACCAGTGACGCTCCGACAAACCAAGTCAAAATCAAGCCGATCTTTTTTACAAACCACCATATTGTGCAAGAGCTATTTCCAACCCTCGCTGGACAAGACGAATAAGTTCACAGTGAACGCCTTTTTGCATATTCTACACTCCTCAGCAACAAGATAAAGTCTGCAGAGACAGCTTTGGACGCAAAACGAGGCAAATCGGTCAACCAAGAAGGAAAGAAGTGATCACACGGGTACGTTGGCTGTATCAGAATAGGCCGTAAACATGGCCTATGGGTGCGGCCGGCGAATTGGTTGAAAATTATGCGTTTGCATCAGATAAACACCCACCTCCTCAGGCAGTAGACAAAATGTTGGCCAATCTTGATTGGATGGTTGGTGTTACGAAAGGTCTGATTATAATAAGTGGCTCATTCTTTTATTGCGCACCATTTCAACACTTGATTTTGTTTTTCCCAAGGTGCTGAACTTGCAGGTAGCATCGTGATTTGTTGTTATACAAAAATACAGAACTAAAAAAAAGGAAAAGGAAAAAAACAAAAGAAAATAAAGAGAGAGAGTGAGACAGAGAGAGACGAGAAGAAAACCACCTGGGTCTGGTCCCATTGCTTAGGAACCACCAATAAACTGCTATTCTACTCAACTTTTGGCGAGTGCATTAAATTGTAACTAGCAGCCGAATCCGTGCTTGAGGAAATGCGAAGAGAACCCGCAAGGGGAAGTTGTGTGGATTGTGGTTTTAGAATGTACATTTCCGTCGACAAACGGACAGTCACAATCCTCATAAACCTGTGTACGTTACTCGGGCAATGACTGTCGGCATGTTTTACGAGGTACTTATGCAAGACCTGTAAATGCAAATGCTGAAGATGCAAATCGAGGTCTTTGAACGGTGCTTCTGCTGATCTGTGAAGTGACAATTACTGAATTTCTGGGGTGCATTGATATCTGGTTTCGACCACTGGAACCCACGAGGTCAAATTTCAGCAAGAGTTGAATCAGAACTTGACTTTGACATAAGTGGCTTCGATTTTTTTTCTCCTGAACCACGATCAGTGGGTTTTTGGTGAGGACTTTGAAAGCAGTTTGAATCTTCACGCCCCTTTCTTGGACCTTGTTTCATCACAGGTCTTTCCATGAAGTCAGGCACATTGTGTGGCAATTCTTTGCTTGTTTAGTAAGGGAATTTAAATGTGAAGTATGGGAGGTGTTCCAAGAGGACATACAATAGAAAGTGTGACATTCAGGATCAATATTACAAAACCCTGACATCATTTTCTATGAAACTATTCAGAATGGTGTGAAACATTTTTCACAGTTGAAAATTATTTTAACAACCACTGTTTATTAGCAGGACAAAATGAACAACCTTGCGTAAAATGTTAACAAAGGTAACATTGTTTACATTTCAATATCCAGATAAAGTTACGTGTTTGAAATTATCAAGTTTTCAAAATAGCATTGAACATTTGAACAACTTCGTTTGAAACAATGTCTGTGCCCTACTCAAATAGTGATTCTTCAAATAATTGTTGACCACGTTTGCTATCTATTAACCAACATTTATGAAAATACTTTGGCGTGGGAAACCGTTTTGGAACACCTCCCATTCTTCACATTTAAATTCCCATTTTTTTCTTAAGTCGTGCCGACGGAAACCTGGAAATGCTCTGAAACTGGGGGAGTTACAACATTATAAACAACAGTTTAGCCGCTTTGAGGGACTATTCAACTTCTTGGACTAACCCAGGCATAACAAAACCCCACTGACTTGGTCTTACCTAGCAACAAAAGCTTGGTCCAATTCTTTAGGTACGCCTTGAATTCCTTTCCACTCTCCTTGAGGAACTTGTCGATCTCTCGACTGCGGCGTGTGGCCTCGTCCACTGGCCCTCCCATGCAGTCATTCATGTTTCCCATGACTGTGCCGTGAAAGAAGGCGCCTCTGCAACCGACGATGCAAGGTCTGCGGTGCGGAGTTTTCTTTCTTGGATTCTTTACTTTTATTTCCAAATCAGTGGCACCGCTGCCCCCTGCATGAGCATTTGCTGCCTGTAGGTTTTAACTTTAGCCCTGTACGAAGCAATTCCATCTGCTTTGCGCAACTGCAGGTTTGGTGTTATTCCCGGTCTGAGTCCGGCTCCACGAAGCTGAAATGTTCGGCGTTTGTTGTACAGTGGGCCCCACCCCTGTGAACGCCGTTCGCACTTAAAAGCCGACAGTGAGCTTAAATTGTGCAAGGTTCACGAGCGGTTGTTTGTAAACTTTGTAATGTCCGACAGTGAATCGCTCTTCAACTTGCACTTCCCGACTCCAACACCCAGACTCGTCCGAAGTCAACCCGATGGCATTTCAATAATTTTGGATAAAGGACTAAAAGGGTTGCATATATTTTCCGGTCGATTAACTCACATTGTCAAAAAGAGAGTGACGATAAACGCGCCCGGGAAGTGAGCGAAATTCGATTTAGATGCCAACACTCCAGGCTTTTGTTAGTCAGTAACTGTATTGGACGGGCAAAGTTCTGCGTTCTTAGACATTTTATTTTGGCTTTGAGGTTGATTATTGGTTGGTCTTCAACGCAGACGCATATAGAAAATATAGATACAGCTATCAAGTGACCTTATTGACTGAGGCCCTGTGTTTTTTTGGAACGATGATATTTCTTTTCTGTTATCTCGTACTCGGTAGAGGAAAGATCGCATTTTGGCGTTTACTAAGCTAGCGTACTCAAATGTAAGCCTTCAGAGTATCGTTGGTGTAGAATAAAGCTGTTTTACAAAAATTCACTTTATAATTCAATCTTTAAATGAAACGATTATGCAGCCAGTAAGGACTTCTTAAAGTACAAATTCAAATCCAATTCTTAAATACAGATTAAGTACAACTAACATTGGTGCTAAAACCAAATGGTGGAAAGTCTGATGAATTTACACACTTTGTCACAATTATTAAATTTTCGTTCAGTACACTTTCTTTATGCGGGGGAATTCTCACAGACGGCAAAGGGGGTACTTCGAACGGATTTGCACCGATTTCAGTCTCACTAAATATTGTGTGGTCCATTACACTTCGCCTGTTCGAGGTACATGTAGGCCTAATACTAGCCAACTAGATCATGTGGCAACAACTTGCCGCATGGGGTTTTTTTACACTATGAATCGACAGAACTGCATCAATCATATCTCTATATACAAATATATACAAGGAAAGTCATAAATCTATTCCACTTTATTTGGCCCATTCAATCCCCACTCCAACTTAATTGCATTTTCAGTCTTGCTATTCTAAATGAAAAATTGCTAGCCACAAACATTCGGTCCCGTAAACTATGATTTTTTTCTCTCTCGGATTAACACTTGCGAGGCCAATAAAAAACGGCTTTACAAAAGACGCTCTGTATCGTATCAGTTATGCATACAAAAATTCTGAAGATTCGTGATTTTCTTTGGAGGGTGCCAAGTGCAAACTCCAAAGAACGGCCGGTCCTACTCTGCTATCTCCCATGAATGCGGCGCGGGCGTAGACGGATCAAGGCCGTTCCAGGGTTTCTTGGCTGTTGCAGGTGTGCATGAACTTGTCTGTCAGGCACACCAGGTGTTGTTTGACGATCAGAAAGCTCATTGTGTACTGTCAGAAACACACCATCCTGGAAGCCCATGCACCAAACAGTTCATGACAGCGGTTGCTCAATTGTTTCACATAAAACCCAACGACTATACAACATATACCTTTCGTAAAAAAAGACACGACAGAAAAAAATCATTAACGAAGCCCCAAATAAAAGTGCTCAATTGAGCACACAATAAAAACTCACGCATTTCTATATATACAGTGCAAAACAACGATTTTCAGTTACTTTTTTATATTGGCTGATTTGTTTTTATATACTTATGGGCGTTGCCAGGATTGGGGGGGAGTAGTCTGTCTTGTGGTTATAGTACTCGACAGACACAAGTTCACAAACCATCAACACGAGGGGAAGGATCAATTTGGAAAATATTTGTGAAAAGCCAGCATTTCCCATTTCCTGTTTCTTTAGACCTATTTTCTTTTTTTTCCATTGGGGGTACCCCTTGCTCTAAGCAACGCCAATGATTGTACTTTTTAACTGTCCAAAATCTGTTTGACAAGTACCACTTTGGCACGATAATTCTGCATCTAACTTTAACATGTGCATCATTTAGACACAAACGTTACAGTACAAAACATAATTTTTGTTGAAAAGGTGAGCCGCAATGCATTATTTTGATTGAAAATGCAGATTAAAATACATGTACGCGAATACAAAAACTTTAAAAGTATAAGATGGCGTAGCTTTTCGATCCGGTAGGATCCGGTAGGATCTTCTCAAGGCAAAATAACAATGTCTTTGTCATAAGGAAGATTCTGCAAGGACTGAAATATTATGTGGTTCTAGATCCATCATAGCTTTCAAGCTTTGTATATTTCAGGTCATCCCGGTCGGTTTCAGCAAATTTTCGCATCCGAATCCCACAATTTGCCCTCTTTAAAACAGCCCATTTCTATATGAGGCAAGACTCGGTTTTTAATCACATACAACCTTAAGGCATCAAGTTCAATTCGTACAAAGAGCTGGCATCATGAGTGTTTTAGTATTCCCTGATCCACTGTGCGGAGACTGGGTCCCAAAGCGAAAGATAATGCACCGCGGTTTTGAGCAATACCTTAGTTTCTACATCACCACTCTGTGTTCCGGACTTCCAACCGTTATTAATTCAGTGTTGAGGGCTCTGTCGGCATCCTTGACGCTCTTCCTAAAATGGCAACAGGTAAATAATGTTTCACTCCCAAGTCACTGTCATACGAACAAAGGAATTAAAATGTCATGTTATATAGACAGGACAATGAATTATAGAGAATTGTAAGGCTGTTAACACATTTTGATTGTTTTGATAAACTGTAAACTATTATTAATGGCACACGAACGACGTAAATTCCACAACTTCCCTTGCCAGCGACGAAAACAACTTTTCCAGATAACTTTTTCACTTCGGTTGAACATGAACAAGTAAAAAACAGTTAAAAACATCAAAATTAACCAAACCACCGCCTGGTTTGGGAATAGCAAATAAAGGTCAATTGAGTGAACGTGATCCTCAGAGCGCCTCGCCATTTATGCAATTTTTGTAGGCGATTTGCCACTCACTGTGACAATTTAACATTAAATTTGATAATTTCATTTTGGGAGATGGGAACTGGGATGGATTGGGTGTGTCTGGGAGAAAATTTCCACACCACGCACATTTACTTGTACTACACTAAAAAAGGTAGCAAGTAGAAGAAAGCATTATGAGCATTGTTCATCGTCTCTCTAAATATAACTGACTCAAAATCGTCTGATTATTCGTAAAACCAGTCCCGAATTGCACGGTATTTTATAGACTGGCATAGGCCTATTCTATGAGCTCAAAATTTGTTGATGAACCTACATGAATGTCAAGATACGGAAATCAAACATTTACAAGAACGGATCGTGAAAGCTTTGAACTCTGCAGACGTCATGATTATGCAAAATCCTAGTGTTTTTGCAAAACAGACTATGAATGTGTATGACGGTAACGAGACGAGTGGTTGTGTTCTGGGTCCTCTGACAACTACGATATCAACAAATGCTCCATACGTGTAAAAACGAGGAAACGTCAAAATGCTATTATCAATTTGATTTATATATAGTACAAAATTGTTGGTAATTGAAATCGTGCCAAAATTGTTTCCCTGATGGTCCCTTCCCATGAGCTGATTTGTCGAATTCAGGGCAATTTTGTTTTATCGTGTTAACAATGTTTACACCTGAGTTTCCCGATGGTCCCTGGTATGATGAATCAAAGGAGAAAGAAACATTCTACAAAGGCCTGAAAGCAAAATATAAACCATTTTAAAATAACATCTTGCAAGCAAATCAAACGACTCAAAATTGTAAAAGAGTATGGAGTAAAGGGTTGGTCAATGTTTCTCACACATAAGTGGTGTGAAACAATCTCAGTGATTGGTTAATTTCAGCAGGTTTGTTTCAACTGTTGGAAAGGATTGGCCCCATTGTGTAGTCAACTTGAGAGCTGAACCGAGGATGAATCCAGAACTGATTTTGCTGAGGGCAACACTCATTTTTTAGGGGGCCTCAAAATTGGTGGGGTTTTTTGTCTTGTTTTGTTCACGTAAACAATTTATGGTTTCTCTGAGGGACGAGGCTGTATTTTGGGGATTTTTTCACGCATTTGCAAAGGAGAAAATGAAAGAAATACCTTCCTCCCATTATTGTTCAAAAATAGAATTTTGTGGTGCTTTTTTTGGGGGGGGCATGGCCCCCGTTGGCCCCCTAGATCTGCCCTTGTTCTGAATACCGTTAATTTAAACCAAGATTTCAGGCAACCGTATAATGACAACTAAGTGTTGAGTTTTATTGTGAATAATTGAGTTAGGTTTGGGATGTTTTTTATTCCCTCCCAGGATGAACATAGAAAGGGAGCTTGCGAATAGAATTCAGTTACGATTAAAACATATGACATTACAAGGCCACAATGATTGTTACATAAAATTCTCAATCAAAAATACAACGGACATTATGAACAATTCTTAGTCTTAGTGACCAGGAATTCTGACAGTTCTCTCAGTCTTTTCTTCTTGATTGCCCCAACATCAGCACCATCTCCCAGCGCGGGCGCGACCCGGTTTATTCGGGGTTTCGTTCCAGCGCTGTTACAGGACCTATGGTCGGCGTTGCGCGCGTCACGGTGTTCCGTAGTACTTCTGGTGAAGACCAGGACTGGTGCGAGGGATCTCGTAGCCATTGGAGGACAGGGGATTCGGGGCAGTCTGTCGTCGGGAAACTGTAGGTTCTTTCCGTCCGCCAGCTGTAAGTGTACTGGAGATCAGAATCAACACAAGAATGGACTCACTACAACGACTGATCAGTCTCGGGTTGGTATTTTGACACTCTTAAACCATACTTTTTTCACCTAAATAATTTTCAGGCCAAAAGTCAATTTCTTCTTTTCGTCTTTTCCCTTTCTCAAATGAGATTTGCCGGATCAGTAAAAATCTTTTAATAAAACGCCATTAAAAACAAAGGAATGGCAATGACGAGAAATGTATGGAATTTTGAAGCAAACGGGAGCCAGGTAGGTAGAAGCCGGAATTGAGTGACTGAAAAACAATGTTAACCTGATGCTGGAAATACAAATGGAATTCAGATGGGGTGACTTGTCGTAGATGTGGCAAGATTGACAGAGTCGATACCGAACCAACAGCTGTATGCTCTCCAAAAACCTGCACAAATATGAAAGGGGGCACTGCTATGAAAGTGGCGGCAAATAATGATCTCAAAGCCCGCTGGTAGACATTACTTAAACCAGTCAGCATCACAGACTGCTTCATGTTTTCTCTCAATGTCACAGTTTCCTGAAAGATTTCATTTTACGCCTTAAAAACCCGAGAGAGTGGATAAGCTGTTTGAGCGCTTGAAAAACATAATTACAAAGAAATTCCATCTTCGTGTTCTAATGACAAGTTTCCCGTATATCCCGTTTTGGATAGAGAGGCTGTGTATTCACCGACACATGGATTTAGTGAAATCCAATTACATGTACAGTGACAGTGGCATATCCTGGTTTGAGTAGATGAAGGGGGGAGGGGTGAGGATTTTTAGCTGAATTGTTGGTTCAATTTTTTCATCCTTGTGCCGTTTATGTTCGCGTTTTCAATTCATTGAAATGGAAACCTGCCTCCTTCAGGAAGCCAGTTGCCCCTTCGCCAGCTGAATACGCCACTGTTTCTTGATACTACCAAAATCACAGAAACACTTCTACTCTGTCCTAATCCTGGATGTTGATATACAGTGTCCCTATAAAAACGCAACGCAAATATAACATTTATTTTCATTTTATTTTATTTTGTCAGAAATGGTTGATTTACAAAAAGAATTGCAGCTTGTGTTATCTTTCAAAACTGACTGTTTATCAATTCAATGATACTTCGGGAGAACATTTTGGTTGCGTTTTTATCGGGGGGGGGCACGCTGTATAGGCTGCAGGGTGTATACATGTACATGGACATCGACATACAATACCCCGTGGACATCGACATACAATATCCCGTGGACATCGACAGACAATATCCCGTGGACATCGACATACAATACCCCGTGGACATCGACAGACAATACCCCGTGGACATCGACAGACAATACCCCGTGGACATCGACATACAATATCCCGTGGAATAATTTTAAACACCGCTCTTGCTCATGTGGCTGAATTCACCACCACAATTTGGGGTGGGGGAGAAAACTGAAGCGGTCCAAATCTTTTATGGCCTTTCTGTGGGTTGAGTTACTTTAGGGGGCTTTTACAAGCTCTCGAGAGAAAGGGAGGTGAACTGATCTTTCTCCGTTTGCGAGGGAGCCACGCCCCTATCATGTAAGCGAACACTTCACAAGCTGCGTTGACGCAATGCTACCGCGTAGGCCAACAAATCGCCTTAGTTTTCCACATTCCTTTCACAGAAAAATTGCTCCCTTTGGGGGGGGTGGACCTCAATGATGCCTCCACTGGATCAACCAATGCCGTATAATACTCTGCTCAAAGTGCAAGACGTTTGAGGATTGCTCAACAAAAAATGGCCAGCTTTATGAAATGGGAGGAATAGGATCCGTGGTCACTGTCAGACAGCAACGGGAGACAACAGTGGCTACGCTTCGTATTTAGTCTATGATTACATCTGTACCCTGTATTTGTGCATGGGTGAAAACAGGGAGCGGATCGAGGTGACATTTTAATCCTATCCCATGGCTGACAAAAGTAAAGGCCTTAGTGTGATGCAAATAAAGTGCAATATTGGGGGCGGAGGAAGTTTTTCTGGGAAGGGTGCTTGCTTAATATAGGTTCGATAATCGTTTCATACATTACAATGTTCTTTGCCTTCTTCCAATTCAAGGCGGGGTGCGGGAACAGAGGCCGAGGCCACGCTTCAGCAAGTTTTTTTGTTTGTTTTTTTGGTTTTGGTATTATTAGGGGACATTTATTCAATGTTGTCATTGTGGACACAAATTTGATACACAAATGTACATTTGTCACAGATAAATATAAATATCATTAACACTAGCAATGTTACATAACATTAAAAGGAAAATGACATTTAGGTGTTAGGTTAAGCAAATGCTTTTGTACCCTAACCTAGGGACAGACTGACAGACAGAAGAGAGGCAATCAGAAAAAAAAACCAAAATATAGACAAATGGACAACAAAACATGGCATACGGCTGACAAGTGTGAGACAAGGGCAGAATACTTAAAAGAAAACTTCACAAAATTACGTATATTTCTCTAAGAATTGAGTTTTGAGTTTCTTTATAAAGACGGGTAAAGGTGCCATTTTAAAAAAGTTTCTTTTAGCGCCATTATATCACAAACGGTACACGTGCGAAACAGTGGATTCTAGAAAGTCCTACCTGGATCCAACGCCTGGATATGCCACCGGACAAAACGCAACGAGAAAAGCAATTCATGAGCGCACTATAATTATGTATGGCAGAAAGGGGCCCGGGAGGACGGTAATAATGTATGCAAACGTTCCATACAATACTTGTACAAATGGCTTTCCGTCAGTATGCCCATTTATCTTATTAAGAATTCGAAACTCCTAGTCCCTCTTCAACAAAGGGCTATCCACATCATTAACCGACGATCTAAGGCTCTAAGGCCTCAAAACATTGCACTAAAACCATGGCGATTAGTGAAATCCCAATTCGCGGAAAGCTCGATCCGGAAATAGCCGTTTCTTTCTGCCGTGTTCGAAATGGTATTCTTGACGGTAATGTGAATACGAAATCACCAAACAGAATATTGACCAAGACGCAACACCATTAAAATGGGGGGAAGGAATTTATTCTTAGAGCCGAATGATAAAAGAATTTGAAACCTCCTTTTCTGAACGAAAAACATTTGAATCTTTTTAAACCTTTGACAAACTTATGACTTGCTCTTTCAATCGCAGAAAATAAAATGCATGTACACATTGCAAAAGTTAAGCCACCGTCTCGCACATCACTTTCTGAAACAGTTTTCACATCTCATAACTGCAACGAGGAGACCGGAAGGACTGACAGTTATGACCATTCCACCGCGCATCGCATAATGTTACCATCCCGATTTTGTGTCGACAGCGTCGATTTCCTCAATACATGATGAGCCACAGTTAACAAACGCAGAAAGCGTTTGAAACGGAAATTGGTGTCTATGGCTACGGCTTTCTACCGTTGCCCCTCTACGAAAAAACCAACCACCCAACCCAAACCAAACCAAACAAAAAAGTACTTCATCACCAGCCATAGGATACCCGATCCACAGACGGCCTTCGACAGGAGTGTCTGTTACCCCGGCCGTGTCAAAAGTCACTGGCCGTAGCCCGAAAATAGCGCACAAGTGGCAGCAGCCGCTAACTAGTGGCTGACAGGCACGGTTATTTCCAGCCTCAGCCATGACTTGTGGACATAGCCTTGGATACGGCCCTACCTACTTGGCATTTGTATTGCATCAAATGCCTCTTCAAATGTATCAACATCCCATCACATTTTCTTCCACAGCCTATGAGGAAGGACACCTTACTCTTCAAACATCAATACTGCCGAACTTGTATGAAATATTCTTTGTTTACCCTCTTTCCCAGATTGTTTAATTCGCCTTCGAGACATCTGTCTAGAACCCCCCCCCGACTTCTTTTACGCTTTACGTGAACACCTCTTTAACCAGGGTCCTATCATCCATGCCTTGTAGAATATCCAGCTTTAATCTTGTAAAGTCACCCTATCATTTTTGTAAGGCTCTATGTACATGCATTTTGTTTTCCATTGTTCCCCACTGCCTTGCCAGAACAGGGGTTTTTTGTTCTTTCATATGTGCACTGAAAAGTAATTTTGACGCTAAATTTTTTTTAATATATATAACGGGTT